CACCGGCTTCCCGGGCGTGCTGCAGTCCCCACGGGGTGGGCAGGGGCCGACTCTCCTGCTCGCCTTGGCTCTCCAGCTCCTACCAAGGAATGCAGGTGGAAGGGGAGTCTCAGACCTCCAGACTGCTGGCACAACTTTCTCCAGAGCTTTTCTACACAGTGGCCAAGAAAACACTTTTTAAAGTATTTTTTTAAATTAAATTTTATTGACGTGACATTGGTTAATAAAATTGTATAAGTTTCAAGTGTACAATTCTATGATACATCATCTGTATATTGCTTTGTGTACCTACCACCCACAGTCCAATATTCTTCCATCACTGTGTACTTGACCCCTTTACCTCCCCCCCTTTTTTTTTCTATCCTCACCCGAGGACAGTTTTCTTTTCTTTTTTTTTTTGATCAGCTAGAGTGGGAGGGAGAGAGAGAGAGAAACATTGACATGAAAGGAACACATCGTGTGGCTGCCACCTGCACGACCCAACCAGGGCCGGGGTTGTGCCCTTGGCGGGAACCAAACCCGGTTCTCTCTGGACCACAGGCCGACGCTCTAACTGCTGAGCCAAACCGGCCAGGGTGACCCCCTTTACCCTTTACGACCCCCCACCCAGCCCCCTTCCCTTTGGTTACCACCATAATGTTTTCTGTCTGTGAGTTTTTGTTTATCTTGTTTGTTCATTTGTTGCTTTCAGTTTTATATTCCACAGATGAGTGCATATGGTTCAGAAGGCTTTTTAACATACATGCTTCCCATGTTTCTTGTGATAAAATCTGTAACCCTCTGATACCTCTTCTCCCCCCCTCACCTTTTGTATTCTAGCCATCCTGGCTTTCAGCCAGTTCCTCCCGGGAACCTAGTCTTCTCCTGACTCAGGATCCTCACTCATGCTGTTCCCCGGAAAGGCAAGCTCTGTACTTGAGCAGCTCAATGCTTCGGGTGTCACTTTAAAGTGAGACTTTGCCAGAGACCTCTCTTGACTTTTGAATCTAAATGAGACCTCTTTCATAGTTTTTTTGTATTTCTCCATGGTGGTCACCACAAGTTGTAAGTATAGCAGGTCCTTGAATAACATTGTTTCATTCAACTTTGTTTCATTATAATGTTGATAAGGGGGGGAAAAAAAATCAATTCTTGGCTGGGGCCACTGTCTGTTTGGAGTTGGCATGTTCTTCCATGTCTGAGTGGGTTTTCTCCAGGGACTCTGGTTTCCTCCTACATCCCAAAGATGTGCATGTGAGGTGGTGTCTACGTGGTCCCCGTCTGAGTGTGGGTGGCCCTGCGGTGGGAGGGCATCCTGTCCCGGTTGGTTCCTGTCCAGTGCTCTGAACTGCAGGGTCGGCTCTGGCACCTGCAACCCTGAGCCCGATTAAGTGGGTTGGAATTCCCTTACTTGTTTTTATTCCTCTTTCTTCAGATTTATTTCTCTGTTTAATATTTGAAGTGTTTTGGGTCTTTAGAAGCTTGGTGATGCTTTTGTGACCAAAAATATGCTGTGGGAACTTAACTCTTGTATCAATTAACCAACAATAAAATTAGTTTCGTTATGTCACTTCATTTAAAGTTGCAGTTTTCAAGAACCTTCCAAAGATGTTAAGTGAGAAATTACCGTACCACTGCTTTGTGATTATTGTTTGTGTGTCTTTCCCATGAGACATGAGTGTGCCTCACTTGCCAGTTGACACAGCCCGTCTGACATGTTGCAGACCCTCAGCACATACTTGCTGACTGTATGGCTAAAAGGCTAAGTGAGTGGATGGGCTTCACCTGGCACCCATCCTGCCTGCTTCTCAGGAGGCAAACAGGTCCCATGGTCAAACACGATGGGGAGGTGCCCTAAGCTGCCTCCCCTTAGAGTCACAACGTGCATTAGTGTAGGGAACTCTAAGATGGCTTCCATTTAGAAAACGGAAAGTGAAAAAGAAAACCAAAACTGTAGAAAGTGAGTTTAATTTTCTTTACCCTGTTTCCCAACTTATTTGGATATGACATTTTTATTTATTTTTTTCCATTTTTATTAATTTATTTCTGTTACAAATGTTTCTCCTTCCCCCCACCCAGACCCCCTCCTCTCCATCCTGCCCCTCCCCCCCCCCAGCATTGTTGTCTATGGCCATTGGTTATGCACACGTGCATATAATTTCTTTGGTTCATCTCATCTATCCCATCTGCCCAACTCTGAGGTTTGTCAGTCTGAACCATACTCCTTTCTATGTCTTGGGTCTATTTCGTTCATCAGCCCACCTTATTCATTATATTCCACAAGTAAGTGAGATCATGTGGCATTTGTCTTTCTCTGATTGGCTTATTTTGCTTAGCATGATACTCTCGAGGTCCGTCCATGTTGTCTCAAAGAATAAAAGATCTTTCTTTCTTACAGCTGCAGAGAGTGGATAAAAAAGCTCTGGACATGACATTTTAAAAACTGAACATCTATTAGCATCCTGCAGAATGGACTCTGAGATGCTTCACTGGTGGCTTCCTCCCTGGGAAGCCTGAAATGCTCAGGATGGTCAGGTGTGGTGTGGGGGGCGGCTCACCCTGCACTGAGCACGCTCATGGCTGCCTCGGGGTCATCAGGAACACACATGCACATATTCACATGTGCAGTCACTACCACAGTGAAGCAGGGGTTGAGCATACTTTGAAAAAATTTGGAGCTAGCCTGGGTTAATATTTTTCAGGAAAAAGAGAGGGGGAAAAATTGTAGAAACTTGGTGTTGGCAGATACAATCTTTGTAGTTATGATAGTGAGCCATTCATACCTACTAACTTGTCTTCTGCTGAGACCTGCATCTGCAATTGTTGGGAAGCTGGTGACTGAGTCCACCTACTACCCAGCGTTTGCATTTCTATGCAGATCTCCAGCTCTCTGTATCCACAGCATCTCTTTTGAATCTTCCAGACCTAAGTGAATTTTATGGGAGGAGATTGCATGTCATAGTAACATTAGTGAAGATTTTAGGACATATCCCTTTTGCATATCTAGGATGTTTTATGTAGGTTGGGTTCCTGGGGTGGAGCTGTATTAAAGGCAGTGGATCTCAAATTACTTTTGGTCAACGCCTACCAGGGCAAAACTGCCTGACCTACCAACTTTGTCTAGTTTCATTTTCCAGTGGAAAAATAAATTAGTGGTAATTTGGAAGGAGTGGATTAGGTATACTTTTGCTCTAGCACTAGAGTATGGATAATTCATATTTGAACCACAATATATACATGTCTTAGAGTTTAGTTATTGGAAAATCACAGCCCCAGGATACTGTTGATGCAAATAGGCTTTAGTATACTCTGTAGGGTTAACCAAGCAACCCACAACAAAATAAATTGATAATGATAAGGCTAAGCAAACAGTATTTCATAATTAAAAAGTACCAAGAGTTGCAATAGCAAATTGCAGCCAGCTTGGGCAACACGGATGATGGCTGCTAGAGTCCTTCTCCCAGATTTTGGAAATGTCAGTTCTGTGCCTACACATGCGAAGTCGGAACCTTCTGCCTAAACAGAGGAGCAGTATGGCTGCCGGGCTTGCAGCAGAATACCACAGGGTACTCCGTCAACTGCAAATTAGTAATAATGTACAAATCAAACTGCACACCACTCACCATAATAATCCAAAGGTGGACTTAAAAAAAAAAAAAAAAATTCAGCCCTGGCTGGTGTGGCTCAGTTACCTGGGCATTGTCCCGTGCACCAAAGGGTTGGTTTGATTCCTGGTCAGGGCACATGGTTGCAGGCTCAATCCCCTGTAGGGGGTGTGCAGGAGGCAGTCAATGCTTTGCTTTCACATTGAGATTTCTCTCTCCTTCTCCCTTCTTCTCTCTCTAAAAATCAATAAACTATTTAAAAATAAACAAGATACTTCCCCATCTTAAAAAAATTAAGTTCAGGGCACTTGAGAATGTCTCTGGTAACATGTCCCCTGAGACCTACCCGCCCTCCCCAGTCGGTCTCAGTCTCTGAGATCAATATCAAGGCCGCATTACCTCCTTTGGGTAAGGCTGTAATTTCCTAGCTCAAGCAGACCAGAGATGGGCCTTTGGATGTACAAAGTGCTCAGATTCTCATTTTTAAAATGTGAAAGGGTTTCAATACTAGCGTAAAATAATCTCCAACATATAACATTAAGTGAAAAAAAGCAATATGCCTGACTATATATACTTTGCTATTTATGTTTATAAAACCATTAATTTTATATGTATATTGATGCTTCTTATGGCTGGATTTTCTCTGGAAGTAAATATAAGAAATGGATCAAAATAGTTGCCTCTAGGGAGGGGTATTAGCTGCTGGGGAAGGGGCGAGAGGAAAATTTAATGTTTTCCCTTGATACCGATTTAGGCTTCTTGAATGTTTCACCATGTATGATGTATGTATTATTAAAAATATCAATGCATTTCAATTTAGAAAACACGTGAGCCTATAGAGACTAGATTTTTGTCTGTTTTTTTTTTTTTTTTAAAGAGACGAAGTTTAAATTTGGTTTACTGTTCTGATGCCTTCTCCCCCTTGGTCATGTATTGAGCGAGAGTCTAGAACAGTGGTTCTCAACCTTGCTAACGCTGCGACCCTTTCATACAGTTCCTCACGTTGTGGTGACCCCCCAACCATAAAATTACTTTTGTTGCTACTTCATAACTGTAATTTTGCTACTGTTATGTCTTAGGCGACCCCTGTGAAAGGGTCGTTCGACCGCCAAAGGGGTGGCGACCCACAGGTTGAGAACGGCTGGAAGCAAAGCCTCTAAGGAGATGGCAGGGGATGAAAGCAGGCCCAGGCCCTGGGATTCTGGACCGAGGCTAAGGCCTCAGTTTTGAAACACACTTTTCAGATAAATCAGGCTTGTTATTAAACCCCCAAGCCTTCCGAGGTGTTTTCATACCGCGTGTGAGACATGCGAAAAGGAGGGCTCTCGCTAAGGGCACTGGTCACATCGTGCACCTACCGCTTGCGTGTCAGGAAAAAAACACGAAACGAGAGAGAATTTGTGTAGCAAAGCATGTTTGAACGTTTGCACTGCTCTGTTTCATCCCGCCTTGGAACTGCTCAAGGAGACACAGCAATGACTTACATGGATTTGCTATGCTTTAACAGAGAACAAACACATAGTACACTCTTTAGTGTTTACTAATGAAAAGCGTAACATTTCACTAAGAATGTAAAAAATAATCGCATCCTTTTACATATATTGACACAAGAGTACATTGTCTTTGTATCTAAATGTTCATTATGCGGAGTCACAATTCTTTCTTAGAGCAAGATATCCAAAGAAACGTGTAGTATCTCTAAATGTTATGAGTTACTGCAGATGGACCATAGAGAAAGAAATGTTTAGGAGCTGGAAGGAACTGTTTTGGACAATATGGGAGGCCTTACTGGGGGGGTGTAGACAGATCAAAATGAATTCCTCAGACTAGAAGAGGCCTAAAACTGATGAATCAAGCAGACTTCTGGAGGCGGGACACAGGCTGGGTCCATCTGGCATATTTGGGAAGATTCTATAATGAAGATATACCAGTAAGAGCTATTAACTATCCCAACGTCTTGGTCCCTTTACAAGGACTGTAAACCCCACAAGCCCTGTCCCTCGTCTGAGGGGATATTTCCTTATTGTTAAGTGTGCAAACATTGCCCCCATGTTTCTCGTCCTCGTACTCACCCCCGCTTTAGCTCCCTTCCTATTTGCCCCGGACCCGGCAGCCTGGACCACTGGGGCCTTGTGTTTCCAAGCCGGTTCACAGAGCCAGGATGCTGGTCCCCACAAGCCCTCCGGGAGCCCACGCAAGGAAACCGCTGGGCTTGGGTCTGAATGACTTACATTTCTCCTCGCCTGAATTAGCCAGTAATTGCATGTGGGTAGGCTTAGCTAGAAATGGTCTAAATGATCAATTAGAAGGCAAAAAGGAGTTCCTTTCTTTCAAGTTCAAGGGTCTCTGGTGAAGAGCCCTACTTCCCAAACCATGCTCACATGGGCCTGCGCCCGGCTCTCTGTGGTGCCCGGAGTATATTGTGCATTTGCCTAATGATAATGAATTGAGTACTTATTTTGCAGGAAAATATGGGGCACTTCCATTACATGCAATCAAGCAAAAAGGCTATAAAATGTGCCACTCCATTAATTTTAAACAGAATCCTTTCCAAATGTCACCCTGAAACCAGAGCATAGGGTTATTACAAATCTGATGGAATTAAGAGTAATTTTCATTTGTACAAAGGAGTTGAGGGATATGATTCCTGCCACACATACACTATTAATTGGGTTAGACTTGATTTGCCAATTTGAGTGTGAATCACTAAGCCCTGACCGGCACTGCCTGGCGTCTTCCTCGTGGTTCATGTGTACACATACACGCACAGCTATAGGACATGCAAAGAGTGTGATGTGATTGGCTAGTTATTAACAAATATGTACGTTGTTCAAAGAGGGAAAAACAAATGCCAACTTCTGGCATGTCACTTTACCTCTCTGTGCCTCAGTTTCCTCATCTGTAAAAGGGGTGTGTAACACCTGCTTCAGTGGACGGAGGGGGACTACTGCATTTTCATGTATCAGGGCACTTCGTGTGATGGCTGGCACATACTTACACCCATAGATGGTAACTTATCTTTATTTTCATCTTCTGTGGGGGTCTCTTGGGCCTAAGCTGGTTTTCAAATCACACTGAGGGAAATCTGGACCCAGCACCAGGATAGGGACAACCTTCCCAGGCCATTGCTGGATCAGACCCGAGGGCCTGGGGGGTATGGGTCAGCCCACTGAGTTCCTGATCATTTCCTTCCTAATTCAGTCCCCTCTATCTCCGGGTTGTAGCTGGACTCGTGGGATAGCACAGAGCAGGAGACAGGAATAAGCAGGTGAAGGTGGTCCGGAGGACGGTCCAGTCTGCCCTCATTCCACGTTCCGGTACTTGGTGAAGAGATTGTACAACACTCGCAGTGTGGATTTCAGGTCACAGTTGACGATGTCTGCATGGAAAACAAAAAATACATTAACTCTCCAGTGGGGCCACATGGCCCAAAGTTGGCAGCTATTGACCTCGTGTGACCAACGTGGTTCTGCGTGGCTGTCCCCCCTCAGCCACAGGTTATCATTCTGTGCTCAGAAGAGCTCCCTGTCCTGCTGGGACAGAGGAGCATCCCCCATGACACGACCGACGGCCGGTGGGAGCTGAAGGATGGGTTTCGAAGTGGCAGTAAGAATCCAGAGCAGGGCCAGAGGTGCAGAGCACAGGGTATCGCGTCTCAGTAGAATGAGGCAGACGGCAGACCATCTCCAGTGAGAGAGTGCTTCCCTGGCCCTGACTTTCCCCGAAGTCTCACCTCCCTGGGGCCACTTTGCCATGAGTGGTGGGAAGGAAGGAAGGGCTGAAGCTACAGTGGGGAGAGGTGGTGAGTTAGGACCAAGCTGCCTCTCCCCTAGGAAGGGCCAGGAGGGCCCCGGAGGGCACAGACGCCCACCTGGCAGAGAGTACTCAGTGAGCATGTGCCCTTAGGGGACAGACAGTTTCAGACTAAGGACAGAGCAAGGCAACTGGGTTTGAGGCTGGGAGTTGGACTGTATTTTCAGGAGAGTTCCTCCGTGGGTTCCCAAGCTTTTGCATTACCATTTCCTCTGCTCTCTCCATCTCTTCCTCCCTCCCCCACTTTTTAAATCCTCACCCGAGGATATTTTTCCACTGATTTTTTTTTTTTTAGATAAGAGTGGGAGGGAGGGAGGAAGAGAGAGAAAGAAACATTGATGTGAGAGATATATCAGTTGGTTGCCTTCCACACGACCCCGACCTGGGGCTGGGGATTGAACCCAAAACAAGTATGTGCCCTTGACCTGGAATTGAACCCTTGACTCTGGTCTGAGGGCTGATGCTCTAACCGCTGAGCCAAACCGGCCAGGGCCCTTCCTTTTATTTAGTGGTCACTTCCTTCTCTGGCTGTCCCTCGAACCCTCTGCCGCCTCCTTCCCCCAACCCCCCTCCTATCCTGCACTCACTCCCTGGGAGGGCCTTCCTCTGAACAACCAAAGTTGAGAAAACATAAATGAAAAAAAAAAAGGAACTCGGCCTACTATTCAAGAATGCATACTAAAGTAATAAAATGATAAGAAAAAGAAAATAAAACAAAAAAACAAAAGCCTAGACAAGCCAGCAGAGTGGCTATGTTCAGGGAGGAGGAGAGGATTGTGTTCCAGAAGGGTAAACTGATGGGAAGGACCCTTCCCCGAGCTGGGTGACGTGTCACTAACCTGAACACTTATATTTTACGCACCTTTCTGTAGACGTGACATTTTCACAGTAAAAATGACCAAAAAGACATCTAACTGTGCGGAAGGTCAGATGAGGTAAATGATATGAAGAAACAATAAATGCGTCGGGACTGAAAGGTTGGAGCGATGCTGAGCCGCTGGGAAGAGGAGCCGCGGAAGATGTCAGCACTCTAGCAATGGCCCTGTCCAGGGACAGGGATCCTCCAAGACCCGGCAGAACAGAGGTTAGTAGCTCTGTAAGGTGGGGCTGTGGTTCCCCGCCCATAGTCTTCGGACCCTTGCCCATGTGGTCGCCACAGCCAGGTGCAACCAGGCCCCAGTCCCTGCAATGATGAGCTCCGATGGGGCTCCCTGCCAAGGCCTGGAGAACCGCCTGAGGGCTCCTCCCTGTCCCTAGGCCCCCTCTGCATGCCTCTCCTGGGCTTCATCCCACCCCAGCTGGGCTTGCATTCTGCTCCAAGTTTTCCTGTTGCCAGACCAAGGGCCTCGGGACTACCTGAGAGGCCTGGCACTCGGCTTCCCCTTCTGCTCCCATGTTGGTTCATGCATACAGCTGAGCCTCCACGTGGGGCCCGGCCAAGTGGCCGAGCCCTGTTCATGCTGAGTCACTCCTGTGCCCTGGGGGCTGATCTTGTCCTCTCCTGATGGCTAGGCTTAGTGCTGTGTTTCTTAAATTCCACTCCAGCCAAAGATTAGGAAGTTACCCGGGGTAGAAACTGCTGGAATGGCAGAAAGGAGAAAAAGTGAGCTCACCAAAGGAATGAGTGTGAAGAGGAAGGTAGACTGGTAGAGGGTTTCCAGCCACGGGCTCCCACCTGGGCCCCTCAAAGCCTCTTGCCCTCTGTGATCCTTTTTACCCACTGTAGCTGGACTGCTCAGCCTCCGGGTGTGGTTGTTTCCAGGGAACTAAAAGGTTATGAAGCTTGGGCAGCAAAAGTCATCCGAGAGGCCAACCCAACCTTTCCAGGGGGTTTCAAGGTACAACAGAGCTTTGAGTGTCAATGGCGTGGCAGAGATTGTGTTTTCCTGACCTCAAAGCCACCTTGCCATGAAAAATGCCTCCACCACAGCCAGTTTGATTTTGAAACACCCTCAAAGAATTACCCACATTGGCACGTTTAATAAAGTCTGTAGCATTTACTGCTGAGCCTCCCTTTCCAGGGAGAAGCGCAGAAACCAGACGGAGTGCTGAGTACACCTCTCACAAAGCACAACTTCACAAACACCATTTCAGTTCTCCTTCATGCACTGGAAATTTTCAGCACGGGCATGATGCCTAGTGTAACAACAAATGAAACAGATGTGTTTTTCCATCCACATTGGTCAGGAAGCTTCATATTAAGCAGTTCAATACGTGTACGAGAAATGTCATCGATATGCTGAAATATCCCTATAGGTTAATCGACCTTCTGTCCTGAGGGAAGTGAATACCTGAAAACGGAAGTATCAGAAGGAGGACTTCCAATCTGTAACCAGGAAGTTTCATAGGAAGCAGGTCAAGAAAACAGAAGCGGAAATGCTGACCGGAGCTCTTCCACTATCTCTCTCCTACCCAGGAATAGGTGCTCACCAACTGGCCACAGGGCACTCAGGGTCCATTCCTAATGGCATTAGGATGCTAGTGTGGTCTTGCCAGGAAAAGAAACCCTAGAGGGACATCAGCCTCGGTGGAGGTCCTCCTCTAGCAGTGACTAGACACTTAAGTGACAATAAATGAGAATAAAGGTGGGTTTTGTTGGCAAGAGCTGATAGCACCGAGGTCTGGAATGAGGCATGACACAGGGTCCCAAACAACACCTTCACAATCCACCCCTCTCCTCTGGGTTGCCTGCTCGCTCCTCCAGCTTCATAAGTAAAAGAATTCTCACAAGATATTGTCCTTAACTCTTTTCTCGACTTGCTTTCCTGTTTTCCATACTCTTGGCATGTCGGCTCCCAACAAGTGGAAGACTTCCCATTATATAATCGCAGCCCTGGTCTTTCCCCCTCGTCCAGTTCTGTTTGGTCATTGCCTAGGTGTCAACCTCGAGGTTTCCAAATCTGACATCCTCATGTCCTTCCCAAGCTTGTTTTCCGTCCTGGGCCCCCAGTGCTGCAGATGGAGCCCCACATCTAAACATCTGTTCTTCACACTGCCTTCCAAATGATCCATCTGGAACAGAGCTCTGATCACAGCACTTACCTGCTCAAGCACCTTCCCAGACTCCCACTGCCTACAGAATAAAGACCTAACACCAGCTTACTTCATCCTCATCAACCATTAATTCATACTCTTACTATTCCAGCCAAATAGGCAACTGCTTACATTCATTATTAGGTTCCAGGGGCCGCACATCAGGGACCATCCCATTTAACCCTGTAATTAATGTTCACATCTCTAGGAGGTCCATTTTTGTGGACACGGAAAATAGGTTTAGCGGGGTAAGTTGCCCAAGATCACACAGCTGGTGGGGTAGGGACTAGACCCAGGGCTGTCATGGGCTTAGCCACATGCTCTGCTGTCTCAGTAACTAGGCCACTCTCCATTCCCCAGGAAGGACTTTAGCTCACGTCGTCATCTCGTCTGAGACTCCCACTCCTTTATCTTTTTTAAAAAATAATTAAAAACTTTTCTTATTACGGTTGACATACAATACTATATTAGTTTCAGTTGTACAGAACAGCAGCTAGACATTTATGTAATTTACAAAGTGATCCCCCAACAAGTCTAGCACCCACCTTGTGTCATACATGGTTATTACAATATTACTGATTATATCCCCTGTGCTGCACTCTACATCCCATGACTATTTTGTAACTGCCAATTTGTACTTCTTAATCCCGTCACCTTTACACCATCCCCTCCATCTCCCTCCCATCTGGCAACCATAACTTTGCTCTCTGTACCTATGAGTCTGTTTGTTTCATTTGTTAATTTTGTTCTTTAGATTCCACATATAAGTAAAATAACATGGAATTTGTCTTTCTCTGTCTGACTTACTCCACTTAGCATAATACCCTATATGTTCATCCATGTTTTTGCAAATGGTAAGAGTTCAATCTTTTTTTCTGGTCAAATTTTTATTTACATATATACATATATACATATATATATACACACACATACACACACGTACATATATATATACATATATACACACACATATATATGAATGATGTCTTCTTTATCCAGTCATCTATTAATGGGCACTTAGGTTGCTTCCATATCATGGCTAGTGTAAATAATGCTGCAATAAACAAACATAGGAGTGTATATATCTTTTTGAATTAGTGCATTAGTGTTTTGGATATCAGATAAATACCCATAATTGGAATTGTGGGGTCATAAGATATTTCTATTTTTAATTTTTGAGGAAGCTCCCACTGTTTTCCATAGTGGCTATAATCCTACCAACAGTGCATGAGGGTTTGCCTTTTTCCACATCCTCACCAACACTTGTTTGTTGATTTATTAATGTTGGCCATTCTGACTGGTGTGACTGTGGTTTTAATTTGCACTTCCCTGATGATCAGTGACGTTGAACATCTTTTCATGTCTGTTGGCCATCTGTAAGTCCTCTTTGGAGAAATGCCTGTTCAGGTCTTCTACCCATTTTTTTTTTTCTTTTTTAAAGATGTATGTGTCTATCATTTTACTTTTCTTTTTTAAAAAAATTATTTTTCCGCCCTGGCCGGTTTGGCTCAGCGGTTAAAGTGTCCGCCTGCG